TGTGGCCGATAAATACAAAAAACTGTCTAGTACGTAAAGTTTTGCATCTTCTTGCCTGAAGGATTCAGAACATCGCACATGTTCTCCTTTCTATTTCAAATTCCCCATAAATGTATTACCAACCCTCAACCCTCCTTGTCTTTTTAAATACATTAATAAATTCTATATTTTCTTTCATGTAGGTCATATTTGAAGACCCCGTGATGTAATCATGTAAGGTAGAAATGTACATGCTCTTGTGCTAGGTATGTAACATGCTTGTAAAAATTAATTCAAAATTTAGTCGTAGATTAAAAATTAAAATTTTTTTTATAATCTTAGAGGTGGGTATGGGTCATTTCAATTATATAAAGAGAAATTACTACGTGTTTCTAATTTAAAAAAATATCACAATACAATCTTAATAATTAATAAGAAATATGAGCATATTATCATATTTCTATTAGAACTTATTATTGCAAACCATCTACAACATTAATTTGTTTTAGTGCGATGGTGATTTTCCCAATATTGAAATGGGCGGAAATTAGCGATGATGTGGGACCTAGAAATTTCTACGATCATAGTCATCCGTCATTGATAGAGCTGGGAAAACGGACCAGCTCAACCGTTTAAGCTTTGAAATTATGAGGACCGGGCTTAAAATTTTTCCTCTCAAATGAAAAACAAGCCCTGGAGGGCCGAGGGCTTAAAGGCCCTTTTATTATTATTATTATTATTATTATTATTATTATTATTATTATTATTATTATTATTATTTTGTGTAATTCTAATATTATTAGTTTTTTTATATTTTTAATAATATTTCAAATATTTAGTTATTATTATCATTTTTAAATCAAATTCTACATAATGGTTTCATTTATTTAGTTTTAGGCAATAATTTGTCCAATTAAATTTTTAAAAAATGGGTTAATTTGGACTTTAATAATGATTTGATTTATATTATATGCGTTGATATTTTTAAACTATGTATATTTGATAATAGAATATTTTTATACTTATATAACTTATGATTCTATAATTTGAATTAGAAATTCATGAGTTTATTTATTGCACAATTACACTATAGATAAAAATTTTGGATGTTGTTATTTTATTAATAAATGTTTTAGATGTTCTTAGATGTTGATGGATATTTATATATGATGATATTTGTATTTGTGTTCATTTTATTCATATTTATGTCTTTTATTAACAATTTCATTGGTTTATTTTTATTTTTTTGATAAAAAATATGAGAAATATAAAAAATAACATTTTTTCTTTAAACGGGCCTGAAGTTTGCGGGCTCGGCCTAGCAAATTAGGATATTTTTGAAATTTCGATCCTGTAGGGCTGGTTCTTTTAAGCCTACTAGCCTTGCAGAACCGGACCGGCCCTAAGTTCCACCTCTTGACAATGACAAAGGGACAAAGAGGAAGAGGCGAAGAAGATGATCATCTCAAAAAACCATGTCTCACTGACTTTGTTCAGTTGTTGGTTCCTATATTTTCTTTATCTATCATCATCACCAGCCCCACTTGTGCCCCCACCCTTCACTTTCTCAACTTATCACCATTTTTGGTCTTCCTTCAGTCAAATGCCCCATTATTAATTTAAAATCGCTCAACTTATACGTCCATTATTTTCCTTTTACAAACACTAACTATGTCTGGTTTCCTGTTGAATTTCCGGCCATCCTCATGGAATTATAACCTAACTCACATTATTCAATGAGACCAATAAATCTACTAATCCATCGATCCAATCAAGAATTCTGAGCACATCAATCAAGTTCCATTTTATATTCTTTTCTCCTCTTATTACGCCTAAAGCAATGTCATTTTAAGTTTTTTTTTCTTTTAAAAAAATAACAGTGGGTCATATTTTTGCTGTAGTAACTTTGTTTATTTAAATTATATGCAATTCACATATAAATATTCCATTTTCTTGTTCATTAAGGTATTTTATTTAAATATAATTTGTTTAGAATTGTATATGTAAATTTTATATATTTTAATTGAATCATGTTATGTTAATTATGATTAAGTAAGGCGATCCCAATTTAAATATAATTCGAGTTATTGTATTGATACTTGAATGAGTCTCTTGGCCAGCCTGGAATAATCTTTGTGAATTGAATTAATCAAAAGGAGCAAATGACGCAAGAGAGAGAAAAAAATAGCCAGCCTGGATTTTTTCTCCACTGGCGGGTGTCTAATATCATTAGGAAGTAAATAAAAAATTATTTAAGACTTACTGATTTTATTTTATTAAAATTCTTAAATTTTATTTCTTCTTTTTTTTTTAAACATCATACAGAACCTGAAAATTCAGTGTATTTAATTCTCATGAATTAGATAATAAATATTGAATGATGAGAATTATTGAGAGCTAAGTAATTTTTTCAGAATAAAAACATTAATTATTTTTAAAAAATATTATAGTGTTTTATAAATTAAAACATAAACCATAAAAATATATTATTTTTCGGTCCTTAATATAAAATCCAGTCAACTAATTGACTAATTTGAAAAGATTAAAAAAGTTACTAAACTACCTAATTATAATATATTTTACATGATCTCTCTAATACTTGTGTGAATCATTAAATTATATATTAATTTATAATTGAAGCAAATTAGTTTGGATAAAAACAATAAATATAAATACTTTAACATAATTTAGTAATTTTTTAATCCCAATTATTCAACTGTGCCTTATACTAAGGATTAGAGGTAGTAGTTTATATAATTGAATAAAGTAAAATTAGTAAGTGTTGAATAATTTTTTATTTATTTCCTAATGGTGTTAAACATCCACCAGTAGGGAAAAAAATTCAGGTTGGCTATTTTTTTTCCTCCCTCGCGAGCTTTGCTTCTTTTGATTTATTCAATTCACATATCTAATCTTTCCATTCTGAGGCAAAATGTTGGCATTTTGTGGCAGCAAACAGGAAAGGCAGCGGAGACAAGCCAAACCCGAATAGGAAGAGCATAATTTGCCCCGTGATGTTTGACATGATAAAGACTAAATTGTCTCTTACTCTTAAAAAATTTTAACTGAATGAGTGATAAGATAAGAACAAATTAGGACTTATTTGTTGTCTTATTTTTTAAAATAATTTTTTATTAAAAAAAACTTGTTTGCCAATTTATTTCTGATTAGATGTTTTCAAAATAGCACTCCTCCAATCATTAATATAAACCTATTTAACTAATTATTTTTTCTCGACTCACCCACTAGTCGACACATGTCCCCACCTGCCACTTTCGCCACCTGCCCAGAATGGATTTAGGAGGTGTTTGGGAAGTTGCAAAAGTGCTCTTAAAATTTTTTTTTCACAAATCGAGATAAATTCCTCTACATATTCATTTTGTATATAGTAAAATTACTTTTAAAACTATGATTTCGCTTCCATCTAAATACCTTTTTAATCACGGTGCATTCAACCAGTCTTTGGACTGTGATAAATTCAAAGAATGCCAAGGTGCAATTGGGCCGGGCTTGGTTCATCTGGTTAACAATGACTTGCTCATTGGGCAATGTTTGACAAAGAGGTATATATACAAACACAGCCACACATTAATTATCTGTTATTTTCTGTTATTAAAAAATAACGAATCGTAGTTTCAAGATCAGTTGATCAGAGTCTATTCTGCACCAATTGAGTATCTTAAACTTTGTTACGAACTTAACAAGTTTCTTTTGGACAATTCATCAAACACCTATTATGCGTGTCTTCGGAGTTAGCAGTGATCCCTAACACCGCTATATACAGTGATTGGTGTTGGTGAAGGTGTGTAAGAGAGAGTACTCACCACAGCACGTGTGGAAGAACTGGCAATGGAGATCACTCAACGACCTACGCATGAACGGAGCTACGTTCCAGTGTTGCCCTGTGACATGCTAGCTCAAGGGCAAGCCCAGGTAAAAATTTAAATATGAATATTTTGAACAAAAATTATAAATTTGAAAGATAAAATGGATTGGTACTTTATATTTAGGATTAAAACAAATTATTTATTTAGCTCTTATATTAAAAATTAAAGGTATATTATTTTTTCTTGGGAATTGGCGAGAAGTTTCATATTGAAAATTTTATTGGTGATAAGAACCTAAATTAAAGTATCAGTATTCTGTGTGCACAAAATTTTGTAGAATTCCGGTATTTTTTTGTATAAAAATTTATTAAGTCATTCTTCACGAATTTTCTCACTCATAAATATTCTCGCCGAAAATATCCCTTAACAAATTTATTTCCGTCATAAATGCCCTGCCAAATTACAAGCGAAGTTCTTCTCTGGGACTAATTTTGCCAAAAAAAAATTTTGGGAATACTTTATGATGTCCAAAACTGTCATCTCTTCATTTTTTTCTCCCAAAAAAACCCAACACTGTATCACTTGATATTCTCGATATTGAGATCATTTATATAATGAAAAAAATTATCTAAAATCTTTTCTCTCTTCGATGGATTAGTCCCCAATATCAGGTGTTAAATAGATTTAAATATCTTTATATTAAAATTCCATACAAAATTGATATTATGCGAGCAGTATCATGTGGTGAAGACATATAGGTGGCAATTATTGTCAACATCGACTGTTCTCATCAATCTGATTATTCATACTCATAAGCCATCTTATTACAACCATACCAACCCATTTATTTGTACGGCAAGGCACTAAGAATCAGTCTCAGTGCTCATTGTTTTGATGAACATTATAAACTCATCAGATTTGGACCGTTCATATCTCATTTGGATGGTCTAGATTTGATTTTTTTTATTTATCTAAAATAATTATTTTAATATGTATATAATATGAAATAAAGATGATCTCTTAACTGTCATTCTTTCAAAAAATAGCTTCTTCTATTTAAAAATAATTAATTAAATATTTTAAAAACAAACCATTCAAAATCAGATATAGACGGTTTAGATCTGATGAGTTTATGATACCCATCAAAATAATGATCACCGAAACTAGTTCCAAGGCACTAATGCCTTCTGAGGCTTTTATAACAACCCCTTACATGCTTCTAATAGTAACTACCTTCATAACCAGCTTCTTTTATTCATTACATCTCCATATCATAGACACTTTATTACTGGAATCAAACACTACTCAAGGCGGACTTCTGAAGAAGATGGAGCATGAAGATTATTAGAAGACATGTGAATGGACTTCTGAATGAAAACTTGGCTGCATCCAACTTGTTAGGGGAAAACAAATCAGTAAGACTCATATGCTTTGGATAAAAATTCAGATTAAAACCCTATTGATATGATAAAAATAACTGTTGGTAATTTGAACATTTGGAAAATTGATTACTTACTTACAGATGACAAAGGTCAAGTAGCCGCAAATATGGAAGGAGGTTTAATTGCAATCGGAGAGTGCCTTCCCATCCTGGTTGACACACGCGAATCTCAAGAAGTAGACGGGAACCAATTTCAGTGCTCATCACTTTGATAAGCATCATAAGCTCATCAAATCTGGACCGTTTATATCTCATTTTGATAGTCCAGATTTGATTTCTTTTTTATTTTCATTTATTCAAAATAATTATTTTAATATGTATATAATCAAAAAATAATGATAATCTCTTAACTATCATTCTTTCCAAAAATAATTTTTTCTATTTAAAAATAATTAATTAAAGAAATTAAATCTGGACCATCAAAATGAGATATAGACGGTCTATATTTGATGAGCTTATAGTACTCATCAAAGTGATAAGCATCGAAACTAGTTCCGATCAATAGTTATTCCGAGATACTATTCTCGATTGAACTCGTTTTTTTTTTTTGACCAAACGATTGAACTCGTTTGAAGAGCATGTTCCGTGCTTGTTCCACTCCCTTTTCCACAAAACCTTGCTGCTTGGAAGTTTTGAGCAGAAAACAAATCCGGCCACTAATCAAGCAGATCTTGCTCGAATGCTTTAAACTGCATTGACTCACACACACACACATGTATTTATTGGGAAGAGGAAGGAAGTAATATGTGAAATATTTATTTAAATATATCAGTAACATGCATGAGTTAAAGCGAGTTTACATCAGCATCTTGCATGGTCGTCGCTGGTGAACAATCTAATGGAGGCTTCGTATAATTCAACTAAGGCCAAAGTCCATGAATGAACTTATTTTGGTGTTTGGAAAGTGGAGGATCTGGATTGCACTTTCTCTGCTGAGCTTGTTGAAGTTTGCAGAAAGCGGCTGGTAATTGCAAGGCCAACAAGAAGTAATCGTATCCTGGTTTGGTATTGGCGACACTAATAATAGGCTTGTCTGTATTATTATTGGTGATGTTTGGAGCCCAAAACAGGTTTGTATCTCGGGCGTTGAGGGGCCACAAAAATAAGGCCACACCAAATATCAAAACTAGTTTTAAGCTACTCATCATCATGATTGATTATTGCCCTTTAATTTCTGGCTCATCATTCGTGTGCTAGCTAGGGTTATATATATATGGTCATCTTCAACGTCATGTGGCAGGCATTTTTCAATTATATTTTTTCTTGAACAAAAATCCAGATGTCATATAATATTGCGCCAAAGCTTAATATTGCTGTGGTCTTGTTATAAGTTATAAATAATGAAATTACGTATAGATCAAAATATTAGTTAAAATTAATTAAATGCATGTTGAGGAAATATGCTACATTTCAAATATTTGGAGAAGTTGAGTAAGAGAAAGAATAAGTGGAATATTCCTCTAATTTTATTTATAAGTCATTTCTAGCATATTTTACTAGGAAAAAAACTTCAGACCTCATTAACTTTGCCTTAAAATTTTAACAACTTTTAAATTTTATTCCCATTTAATACACACACTTTCTAATAAAACAACAATCCACACAGTAAGAAATAAATGCTAAAATAGTACATTTATTTTACAAATCTAATGGTGTGACTTAAAAACAGAACTAAAAATTTTTTTCACTCTCTATCTTATAGATAGGATAAGTATGCGAGAAATATGTAATTATTTGGGGTAAAAATAAAAAAACTGAACTAAATTTTCAGACAAGTATAGAGTGTAACTTACAACAAAAAAGATCATATCCAAAAAAATTGTAACTTATATATAGAACCAGAGAGAGTATTAAACCAACACGACTTGAACTAACTTATAATGATCAAGACTCTCATCTCTTTCTCAACAAAGAAGACATCGAGGCGAGATCTCTTCATCTATTTAATCATTAAACCATTAATAGTGACCAAATGTCAAATCAAAACCCCTAATTTGTGATGGACATTAGAAGCCATTTCCTAAAAATGCTGTGATTTTTTTAAAAAAAGAAATGACGTTAAGTAAGAACACCTCTACTTTTCAGTATTAGATGTCGTTTCTACTTTATAAGATTATTCTATGGTGTCTAAAAATGTGGACGCCATTAATTTTACCTCGACTAATTTAAAAAAAATTGCTGACTCTATAGTTAAATGTTGACAAAATATGGTTTAAATTTTAATTTTTAATATAATTTTTTTATATTTTAAATTTTAAGTATTTAAAGAAGTAGATATTTGATAAATATTAAATATTTAATCATTTACAAAAAAATTATTATATTAAAGAATTAATTTAGAGCATGCTTTGTAAGTATTTAATTGCAGAGTCACAATTCAAATTTGCTAAGTCAATATTTTCTGTTAAATGAGACTAACATTATTAAAATTAAAAGACTAAAAATATACTCTCTTTTTTAACTTAAGGGACTAAACTAAAATTTGATGTAAACCCAGGCAATCAAACGTATATTTTAGTCTAAAATTAAATATTGAATAAATAGTGATGCGATAATTTTATAAAATGTAATAATTTTTAGGAGTGAAATAGAATTGTATAAGTAATTACAAATAAATATCTATAACGAAAAAGACAAGTAACTTGCTTTTTTGTAATTAGATAATAGAAATAAACAATATGTTTATATGGGGAAAAAAAGGTTAAGATATCAGTCTATCTTGAAAGTTTTCATTCAAAAACATTAGGTATGTGAAATTTTTTGAATTTAATGTAGTCCTTGAAGTTTAAAATCGTAGCAATTTTATCCTTTACTAGTTAAAAACTAATATTGACTATTAAAATATTAATATTAATTGTTAATATTTTTAACAGTAAAAGGTAAAATTTCTATGATTTTAAACTTTTAGAGCAAGACCAAATCCAAAAAACTTTCGTAGTGCTCAACACTGTTGAGTCAAAAATTTCGGGACAAATTTATATCAAAATCTTCTGAGCGCCCACGCCTTGTCACTGTCCCTTTTACATACCCTATTCTAATATATCCTCTCCCTTATGTCATGGTTAAAAGATTGTTCGATTTGGAATCTCGACATTCCACAGAATTTTAACGGTCTCTATGAAACCCTATTCTAATTTTAACACTCGTGTCGTTTTTACAGGTTACTTGTTACATTATTTGATCTATATTAATTAAGTAGGATTAGTGGAGTACATCGTGCGTCACATTGGTATAAAATTAATAAGTCTCATTTTCGTTGGCAGGCCCAAAAAAAAATTGGTAAATAAATAAATAAAACAAAACAGGTTTCATCCCCACTACGTACGCACAAAGCATCATATTTTAAATAATGGTGGGGAGCTAACATTAATTGTAACATATTTTACAAATAAAATTAACCAACTTTAATGGAAAATTTTGTGATGTGGGGGGAATGATTCTCCTTCCCCCTCCCAATGTGTTTGGAAATAAAATAATTTTTATTTACATTTTTAATACGGACAGCAAATTCCAAAGTAAAACAAATTATTTATATAATATAAAGAACAATTTATTATTTCAAGATTGTAATCCCAGATAAATTAAAATGCTATATATATAATCCTATATTCATTAAACATGATGCCATATAATTAAATGGGAAAGAAGTAATACTTTAAATATTCTGCTTTAATATCTGATATCGACTCGATGTCGTCTCCACATATAAATACAAAAGATGTAGGCCCCCCTCCCCAATTATTTATGTTTCGTGCGTGTGCAGTGGGGATGAAACCTTTTCTGTTTTTGTTTTTATTTATGCGCCAATTTGTTTTTCTTGTTTGTTTGGCCTGCCAACGAAAATGAGACTTGTTAATTTTATACCAATGTGATACACGATGTACTCCGCTGATCCTACTTAATTAATAGAGACCAAATGTAAGAAGTAACTTGTTTATTTTAGAATTTATTCCCTTTGTTATGCTTAAATTATGGCGGGGGCCTAACATTAATTGTAACATATTTTACAAATAAAAATAACCAATTTTAATGGAAAGTTTTATGATATGGGGGGAGTGATTCCTCCTCCCAATCTGTTTGTAATGTTAGAATTTGTTCTTTATATTATAGAAATCATTTGTTTTACTTTCGAATTTGCTATCCGTATTAAAAATGTAAATAACAATTATTTTATTTCCAAACAAATTATTCTAAAATATACTACTCCTTAAATTATATAGTTTCTTGTTATATTCTCACACAAATTATTTTATAATTAATTTGTTACCCACACACATTCGAAATATAAAAAGCAATTTATTATTTCAAGGTTGTAATCCCAGATAAATTAAAATGTTTGCCCATGCGATTTCCTACTACACACACACACACACAAAAGATAGATATAGATATCAACATGTGAAACATAGACCCCATAGCCATACGTTGCCTCACCTTATAAAATATTGTGAGTGCACATCTATACGAATTTACAATCTTAATATAGAAATACGTTTGCATGGATTCCTTTTGGGGTCTACAATATTTAGGAATCTTATGGTGGGAGATAAGTAGAGAAAGAAAGTTTAATTTTTTTGAAAAGTTACCAAATCCATATTCTTTAGGTCATTAAGGATCTTAACTTTCCAAAAAAAAAGTTACAATAAGACTCGCACTTTTCTTACCGTTACGAAAGTAACTTACCCAATAATACCCACCCCAGTTGTACTTTCTAATATTTTCTCTTTCAAATCAAAGAATGATACATATTTTTACTACTAATGGTCGTTTCAGTTTAGAGGAAATACTTCTAATAGAATGGATATTTATATGAGTTGAGATGGAAAATAGAATGTCCGTACATTTATATGAACTGAAAATATTTAAGTATGAAAAGACTTAATAGTCCCTTACTCTTAAAAAACTTTCAAATGAATGAGTGATAAATAAGGATAAATTAGCCTTTTTGTCCAATAA